TCTTTGGTAAAGTTTCCTTGAAATAATACTTTTTATTACAATAATTATCAGACCAATTATAATAGCAACATTAAAAACATTCTTTTAGGATAAGTTTGAAGGAAATGTGACATTTAATGAAGTCGTGTTCAACTATCCGACCCGGCCCGATGTGCCCGTGCTTCAGGGGCTGAGCCTGGAGGTGAAGAAGGGCCAGACGCTGGCCCTGGTGGGCAGCAGCGGCTGTGGGAAGAGCACGGTGGTCCAGCTCCTTGAGCGGTTCTACGACCCAATGGCCGGAACAGTGGTGAGCACACTTCCTTAAATTAGTCACCTGACTGAAGGCAATATTTCAAGTGGCTAAACCGATATTCCCAAAATGGGAAAAACTGGACAAGTAAAGACCCACAATCCTATTTGCTACAATGGCCACATTCTATAAACCCTAAACTGGCACCCACAGTCGGACAGATACATTGGGACAATTGGGTAGAATGTCTGGAATTTAGTGTCGTTCAGAAAATATTGAAGTTGACCTCTGCCTGCCATGGGCCTTTTGAGCCAGACTTACCCTCCTAAATAAACCCTCAATTCCTGGTTTATAAAGGTAAGTACAAACTCCTGCCGGAATTCTAAGTAGGCTGCCAGGACAGGACAGTGCCTGCTGATTTCCTCCCCACCTCCTTCCGCCTTGCCTTCTCTCCACCCCTGAACTCTAGGTGCTCTGACTTTGAGCCTCATCTTCAGCCCTTTCATGTTTGGCTTTCATCACTGATTTTCTGGTATCTAGCCCCTGGCTCTCTTCCGTAAGTGAAGCCTTGGCTCTGATAATGCCTGCCTTTTCCATTGCCTTGGGTGGCACCCACTGACCTAGCCCTGGGAGCCCACCCCCATTTAGACAGTCACTGAAGTGTCAAACCTTGTTTAGCTGTTTATTTTTGGAAAATCATCTGCTTCCACCATTACAGTTACTTTGCAGTTATAAATATAGGCAAATCAGCTCAACACCCTGTAGGTGTGCTGTGCTAATACTGTGGCGGGAATTTCTTTATTGGGAGGTCAAGGCTAATTGGACTTGCGTCTGTCCCTTCACTGGTCAGTTACCTCGCAGGAAGCTGCATTTTCAGTTACTATATCACAAGGCTGTAGAAGCAGCATCATGCCTCCTGCTTACAGCAAACAAATAAAATAATCAAAACTACCACCAACAAAACCATTCTCCCAAGGACACTGCCCTTTGAGCTTGGTTCACTTTCCCTTGAACTTTTGTCCTTAGTGCTGTCAAAAAAGGAAAAGTTTGAGGCTGGTAGTTCTCAGGGATAGAGGAGTGGAAGTAGGCCAGGAGGTAACGAACTTTCAGAATCTGCATTTTGTTCTGGTGTGCCTGCAGGAGGGAAATAAAGTCAAGTTGAAAGGCTGGAGTCATTCAGGGGACGGCAGATATGAGTAGAATACCTAATTTCAGGCTTCCCAAAGGCAGGGGATGATGGTACACTTGCCTGGAGGAGGGCAGATAGGACAAAGAGAGGAATGTGAAAGGACGAAATGTGCCACCATTTGCCAGTTAGACCAAGAAAGGGATGGCATTACCATCATCAAAATCATTTTGTTGCCTACGTTGGCCTCCCAAAGTGTAAGTGCTTCGAGGCTGTGAGGCTGGGTATTTCACAGACTGCTGATGCCCACATGCCCCAACATCCTCCCAATGGTTTATCTAGTAACTTACTGACTTACTGCTTAGTTATTTTTTTTTCTTTTCAAGCCCTTCTTATAGTTTGTGGACTTTGGTTTTCAGCTCCTAGATGGTCAAGAAGCAAAGAAACTCAACATCCAATGGCTCAGAGCCCAACTCGGAATTGTGTCCCAGGAGCCCGTACTGTTTGACTATAGCATTGCCGAGAATATTGCTTACGGAGACAACAGCCGGGTTGTATCGCAGGATGAGATTGTGAGTGCAGCCAAAGCAGCCAACATACATCCTTTCATCGAGACCTTACCCCATGTAAGTTAACTGGCAACTTCTTAGATGAAACCAGAATCACCTCTACCCTGTTTTCCTCCCCAAAACAGTTCCTGAAGTCATACTCGAACAGTCGTGTATCAGAATGTGTCTACTTCCAGCTCTCTGACCTTGGACAAGTCTCTGAACTTCATGATACCAAGTTTCCTGATGTCATGCCTACCTCATACAGATGTAGTGGGGAGCAAATAAGGTGATATTAAGTTAATGCACCATATCTCAGGTTGCAAACTGGTGGGCCGCATTCAGACTGTGGCCAAGTATCCCTTACGGTACTTTTTTTAAAATTAAATACTTTGAGATAATTATAGGTTCACATGCAGTTGTGAGGAATAGAGAGATTTTATGTACCTAGTTTCTTCCAATGACAAAATAACAAAACCATGATGCTGACATTGATACAATCCATGGATCTTATTTTGACTTCCCCAGTTTTATGTATACACATTTGCATGTGTTTACACATCTGTATCTGTGTTCTCTGCAGTTTTACTGCATGTGTAGATTCATGTCTCCACTATCACAGTCAAGATACAGAACTTCTAGCACCACGAGATCCCTCACGCTGCCCTTTTATAGCCCCTTCTTCCTGCCCTCCCGGCCCTCAACCTCCGTCAGCCACCAACTGTCCACTTCTGTAAACTTCTACTTTTAGAATATTATATAAACATACAGTAAGTAACCTTTTGAGATTAGCTTTTCTTTCTCACCCAGCCTCATTCCCTGAAGCTGTGTGTTATCTATAGTTCATTCCTTTTTATTGCTGAGTAGTGTTCTATGGTATGGATGTGCCTTGTTTAACCATTCACCTGTTTCCAGTTTGGGGCTATTAAAAATAAAGCTGCTATAAATATTTGTGTGCTAGTTTTAGTGTGAACTTTTTATTTCTCTGGGAGCAATGCTTAGGAGTGCAGTTGTTAGGCATATGGCAATTGCATGTTTAATTGTATAAGAAACTGCTAAACTGTTTTCCAAAGTGGCTGTGCCGCTTTACATTCCTACCAGCAAGTATAAGTAATAGTTTCTCTGTATCTTTGCCAGCGTTTGCTGTTGTTACTTTTTCTTTTCTTTTTTTTACCAAGTTTTGATAGGTGGATAATGATACCTCACTGTGGTTTTAGCTTGCATTTCCTAATGGCAAGTGATGCTCAGCATCTTTTTATATGCTTATTTGCCGTCTATATCTCCTCTTTGGTGAGGTGTCTCTTCATGTCCTTTGCCCATTTCCTAATTTGATTGTTTTCCTACTGTTGAGCTTTGATAGATTTTTATATATTCTAGTTATTAGTCCTCTGTCAGATATGCAGTTTGCAAATATTTTCTCCCAGTCCGTTGCTTTTTTTCACCCTTTAAACATGGTCTTATGTGGAGCCAGTTTTTAATTTTGATGAGGTGCAGTTCATCAATTTTTCCTTTTACAGATTGTGCTTTTGGTGTCAAGTCTAAGAATTCTTTGTCTAGCCCCAGGTCCTAAAGATTTTTTCCACCTTTGCCCCACCTAAACATTATGGTTTCACATTTTACATTTAAGTCCAAGCTCCATTTTAGTTAATTTTGGTATAAGGTTGTTTTCTTTAATGATTCATTCTGTGCCTTTGGCAAGGACATGTACTCTCCCATTTCCATGGTCCCCTAAGCCCCCTATTACCTCATTATAGCTGCTATAAATGTAGCCAAAGTGCAATGTTAGCAACATGTACTTGAAAAATATGTGAGGTAAGAGTTCAGTGAAAAATTTCAGCAGCTGGTAAACGTGAGTAGTCCTGGAAAGATGACTGGAAATCCCTAAACCTGAGGGCAGGGGTCATTCAGCTAGCACCCGAGGGTTCATTGGATTAAACTGAAGTACAGCTTATTTGTACTGTTATATTCTGCTGTGATTACTAAAGCACATTCACAAATAAAATTTAAACCTCCATGTTGGGTAGCCTCAGCAACCCTTTACACACAGCCACTGACCTCAAGTATTGGATGTGACTGAACAGAAAGACGAAGCTTCAGCGTTTATCTAACTGACATGGGACTTTAGGACGTGAATTCACATGATGTACACTGAATTCAGTTCACTGTCAACAGAACCGACTCAATCTGTACTTTTATTCATTCTCTGCTTTTTTGGCTTAGAATGTTCTCTCAATATCAAGCCTCCCAACTTCTCTACAAAGCTACCTTTAATTTACCTCCCCTTTCCCCTCTCCCACCTTATGTCCACAATTTCTCTTTCCCTCTGTGATCTTTCACAGCATGTTGTGCATACTACTCATTTGGTACTTACTTGGCCTTACATTGAATGCTGAATATGTATTCTTTTCTCTTTAGATTTTGATTCCTTCAGGGTAGGAATAAAGCTGAAGTCATTTTTACATTTCCCACAGTTCTGGGCATATTTAAGTAAACGAATGAGTTTAAAAGAGAATAAATTTGGTTCCTTGTGGGTAATATGACTACATCAAATTAAAAAAAAAAAATTTAAACCTTAACATTTAACCTTTTTAGGACTCCAGTGACATCAGATGACATTATGATAATGGTGGGAATTCGAGAATTTGTTGTAGAATACCACAAATTGAGAACTAAAGTCATTAGTTTTCTATTTTGATTTTGAAAACAAACATTTTGTTAAATGGGGGGGGGGAATGCATTAAATGGACAGCTATGTAGCTGCTACAGAAACTTTATATTGATTCCAAATATTTTTTCCTTATAAGTAGCACTGTCATATGTTAAAGTAAAAGTTTATTCAGTATAGCATTTTTCTGGGTTAGAACTGTATTAATTTTATTAATGACTGACTTGCAGAAATATGACACAAGAGTGGGAGATAAGGGGACTCAGCTCTCAGGAGGTCAAAAGCAGAGGATCGCCATTGCCCGAGCCCTCATCAGACAACCTCGAATCCTACTGCTGGATGAAGCTACATCAGCTCTGGACACTGAAAGTGAAAAAGTATGTCCTCCCACCTCACATCCCATTTAATTTATAAAACAGAAGTTTTTTGTGCCGTTAACTATGAAAAAAAAAATATGTAAGCACAGAAATAAGTAAATATAAATTCAGACAGTGGTTATTTTGAGGTAGGATATATTCTTACTCCTTTCAGTATTTTCCAATTTTTCTAAAATGATCATTTCGTTTTAGGAACACACTAAAAGTAAAGCATTCAAAAGAAAAGGCTGCAGAAATAGTTTTTAGCACATTAACAAATGGAAAAACTGGAAAACATAATACTTAATAAAAGAGAACTAGTTAAGTAAAAAATATTGTGACTAGTTAGAAATTTTACCTACTTGTGAAGATTATTTACAGTGCGAGAATCCATTATTATATAATGTCAAATTATATAAATGCACATGAATAAAGGCAAAGATTCAAAGAGATAACAATTTTTGGATGGTAAAATTTTTAAATTTCTTTTAATGCTAAAATCCATTTATAAAAATTTTAAGGTAAGGCTTCTGTTCTGATTTATCACTAGATTGTCCAAGAAGCCCTGGACAAAGCCAGAGAAGGTCGCACCTGCATTGTGATCGCTCACCGCCTGTCCACCATCCAGAATGCAGATTTAATAGTGGTGTTTCAGAACGGCAAAATCCGGGAGCACGGCACACACCAGCAGCTGCTTGCACAGAAAGGCATCTATTATTCCATGGTCAGTGTCCAGGCTGGGACACAGAACTTATGAACTCTTGTTACAGTATCTCTTAAAAATAAACTCAAATCCTTCTACAACTTTTGCTGACTTGTAAAATAAATTTCAGTGTCATTGTAAAATATAGATAGGTACATCCAATTTGGGGGTTGATATTATAGCATTTAAAACTTTGGAGTTATAAATCATTAAGACACATTTCTTGATGAAATATGAAAACAGCTTAGCTCTTCCTGAGTTATCAGAAACAGAGAAAAAAGGAGCAAAGTTCAGGTATATAAAGCTGTAGAATTAGTAGAAGCCAGAGACATAGGGACAATCCTTATGATCTTGAATAGTTGGGTAGATGACAGGATGTTTTGGGAACAGTTTTCCCAAGTACAAAGAAAATATAAATTGTTCAAAAACATATAATTTGGTAGGTTTCCAAATTATCCTATTGGGTTACTGAGATTTTTAAAAATGAATGTATCCCCAGCTTTATGATAGTCCAAGAGAAAATGAAATTTCCCTTAGACAAGGTGACTCTGCAGGTACACATTCATTTGATAAGTCAAAAAGAGACATATCATTAAGTATTTTAAAGAAGAATTTAAAATTCATGAATTATTGCACCTATCTATTAATGCAATTTGTAACCTCGGAGATATAAAATGCTATTTCTATAGCAACTGCATTACTTTTTACAAGTAATTCTAATATTCCCAGAATGTCAATCCACTTCTCCTAACAAGAAGGAAGTATATATAGATGAAGAGCAAAAAAATATCCCAGGCAACCTTTGGAAACTAACCACATTGAAATGTTTTTCCCATAACTTACTGTAGCAATATCAGTTCATTGCTGTGACAAGTTGTTTAAGTCAGTCAAGTATTCAAACCAAGTTCTTCTATCTGTAATAAACCATATACTATATTACCAAAGATATTACAGATATGACCATGTGTATCAGTAGACAATTTCAGATTAACCCAGAGAAGAATGGGGAAGGGGTACTAGCAGTGACTCAACATGAGCAGAATTCAAACTACCATTGTGTAATTATTCCCAAAGTTGCCCAATGAGGGTCATGGGGCATCTGCCCTGGAAACTTTCATTCAGTTGGTCTGGGTTGAGGCCCAAGAACCTTTCTGTAAAAAGCAATCCAGGTGATTTTTAACTTTAGGAAATGTAGGGAATTGTGTTAAAGCATGGGTAAGAAGAGGCTTCTCTCCAGGAGGTGATCGGTTTCTGAAATACTCAACTTTGTTTTTAAATAATATCTAAAATCAACCAAATGAATCTAAAATCCCTGGAAATTTAATCTGCAAAATTGTACTAGTGAGAAAATGTCCACAGTTCAGATATCAAATACTATAGAAGCCAACTCTGAATGTTTTCACACACACAAAAATATACCGATTTTATCAAATTCAGGACATATGAAAATATAAGAACTAAAAGGACATCCAACCAGTATACTAAATACATTGTCATCTTTGTTTGATATAGATTGCTACAATGGCCCCAATTAATCATGTCCCCTCTGTGCCCACTTATTTACATTTATAGTAATTTACAAAATGACTTTGTTGCTCCTCTTGTCTAGAGATGAGACTTTCCCATACTCATTAAATCTGGACTGCCCTTGTAACTTGTTTTAACCAACAGAATACAAAAGATGTGACATCACGCAACTTCAATGTGACTTCAGAACCTAGGCTCAAGAGGCCCTGCAATTTCTATCTTTCCCTCTTAGAACACCCACTGCCAAGTTAAATATTGAATGATCAGACACCTTATGGAGAGAGAGTCGCAGCCACCAGTCCCCAGAGAGTGGGTGAAGCTATCTCAGACTTACCAGCTACAGTCCAGCAGCCTTATGGCTGCAGCTACATAAATGACTTGGGCAAGACAGAAGCATAGCCTCCAAATGGGCACGGTCAACGGACACAATCGAGGATAATATATTGTTGGAAGACAGTAAGTTTGGGGCACTTTATTACATAACGATATATAACAGATCAGAAAGTGTAAGGTCGGGGGGATACCAAAATGGCAACGGATTGAGTGGAAGCTACACTGACACTTTCTCAGAACCAAACTGGAATTACAACTAAAATATAGGAGAACCATCCTGAATAATCAACTGCAACTGAAGATGAGCTGGAGAGCACCCTCATAACCCAGGACGTAAAGCTGGGACCACATAGAGGCTGGTAGGAAGTGTGGAGGTTCGAGAGCTGAAGTTCCTGAGGGAGAGAGATCTCAGCTGTGAAGGGTTCCCACAGAGAATTCTGGGGCCTAAACCCCAAGCTAGGCTGCTCAACCCAGAGCACCAGAACTGAGAAAGGTGCCCACATAACATCTGGCTGTGAAAAGCAGCAGAATTTCTGTCAGGAAGAGACAGTTGGAAAGGCCGATGCTCTAATACATCAAGTTTCGTGGGAAGCCACTCACCTTGGCCTCCAGCGGAGGGAGGGCACAGTACACTGGAGCTGTGTGAGGACAATCCAGGTGTGTTGGCTCTGGAGATAGAGCTCAGACGGCACCCCTCTGGATTTCTGTGGTGAGTCATTCACCCATACTGCAGAGGCAGACATTTACCTTCCAAGCAGCTTTTGCCTGAGGGAGAAGCAATTGCCCCACCTTGCTAGAAAACCTCTCCCCTTCCCAGTGGAGTTTCTACAGCCTGAGGCTCAGTAAGACTGAGTAACAGCCTCTGGGTGCTTTGAGTCTTTGCCTGGACCCAGGGTTTGCTTAGGAAAGCAGACCTTGGTACCCATCTTGGTCCTTTCCAAATGCACCCAGCCCCAACAGAGGGAACCACAAGTTGTGGAATGGGGAAAGCTTCAAACAGGGTACTCAAGGCTGGTCACAAACAGCATCTGACATTGGCCTGCACAAGAGACCACCCAAGATGGGAGTCCTAGTAGATAAACCTAATACACAGAAACAAATCCAAACAGGCAGCCAAAATGAGGAGACAAAAAAACAAGCCCCAAATGAAAGAACAAAAGAATTCTCCAGAAGAACTAAATGAAATGGAGATAAATAATCTATCAGATACAGAGTTCAGAATACTGATCATAAGGATGCTCAACAGCATGAGAAAATAAATGGAAACTATGAAGTAAATTAATGACATAGCAGAAATAAGAAAAACACTGGAAGGAATAAACAACAGATAAGGGGAAGCTGAGGATTGGATCAGTGAATTAGAAGAGAGGGTAGGAAAAAAAAAATCAGAGAACCAAAAAGAAAAAACAATTAAAAAACAGTTTAAAGGTGCTACGGGACAAGATGAAATGTAACAATATTCATATCTTAGGAGTGCCAGAAGATGTAGAAAGGAAGGGTTAGAGAGCCTGTTTGAAGAAATAATGGCAGAAAACTTCCCTAACTCGGTGAAGGAAAAAACACATGTTCAGGAGGCACAGAGAGTCCTGAACAAGAAGAACCCAAAGAGGCCCATGCCCAGACACATCATGATAAATGCCAAAAATTCAAGACAAAGAGAGAATCTTAAAGGCAGCAAAAGAAAAGCAATCTGTTATCTACAAAGGAGCTCCCATAAGGCTATCAGCTGATTTCTCATCAGACACTCTACAGGCTAGAAGGAAACAGCATGAAGTGTTCAAGGTAATGAAAAGCAAGGATCTGAAACCAAGAATATTCTATCCAGCAAGGCTACCATTCAAAATAGATGGTGAAATAAAGAGCTTCCCAGACACACACAAAAAGGCTAAAGGAATTTATCACCACCAAACCAGCACTGAAGGAAATGTTAAAGGGACTGCTGTAATAAAAAGAATAGAGAAATATTGGCATAAAGAATTAAAATGGCAATAAATAAAGACCTATCAATAATAACCTTAAATAAAAATGGGTTAAATGGTCCAATCAAAAGGTTAAGAGTAGCTGAATGGATAAGAAAACCACACCCAAATATATGCTGTCTACAAGAGACCACCTCAGAACAAAGGACTCCCACAGGCGGAAAAACAAACTTCTGGAGGACTTTAAGGGACAGATCGACAGCAATACAGTCATAGTAGGGGACTTTAACACCCCACTGACTTTACTGGATAGATCTTCCAGACAAAAAATCAACAAGGAAACAGTGAGTCTAAATGACACACTAGATCAGATGGACTTAATTGACATTTACAGAACAATTCACTCCAAAGCTGCAGAATATGCATTCTCCTCAAATATACATGGGACATTCTCAAAGACAGACCACATGTTAGGACACAAACAAGTTTCTACAAGTTCAAAAGATTGAAATCATATCAAGCATATTCTCAAATATTTACACTATGGAATTCTATGCAGCTGTGAAAAAGAAGGATCCCTTACCCTTTGAGGCAACACTGTGGGACATGTAGAGTATTATGCTAAGCAAAATGAGCCAGTTAGAGAAAGACAAGTATCTCATGATCTTACTCATATGTGGAATCTAATGAACAAAATAGATCCAGAGACATAGAAGCATGGAACAGACTGACAAATCTCAGGGAGAAGGCAGGGGTGGGTGGTGGGTGGAGAGAGATTAACCTAAGAACTTCTATGCATAACCCATGGACACAGACAACATTGTGGTGAAGGCCAGGAGGGGGGTTGCAGGGTTGAGGGGATCAACGAGG